AATTAATATGTACTGATATTACCCTAAACACTACCAGGTCTGTGCAGTGTCATGTGACATCTATGTACCAAGTTTTATTGAAATGTTATGATTAGTACTTGAGATATCAGTGGAAAAGCCGAAAATTGATTAATCATTATGTAAATTAGGTAATTAATAATATTAACAGATTTTTACCCAAAACTAATCAAATCTGCGTATTGGTTCAGAGCATCCCTGTGCCAAGTTTCATCAAAATCCACTGAGTGGTTCTTCAAATATCAGTGGAACAGTCATGGAACAGCTTGAAATCAGATAATTAGCATTTAAATTAGATAATTAATATTCATAGATTTTTACCCAAAACTAATCAAATCTGCGCACTAGTTCAGAGCATCCATGTGCCAAGTTTCATCAAAATCCAATGAGTGGTTCTTCAGATATCAGTGGAACAGTCTTGGAACAGCTAAAAATCAGCTAATTATCATGCAAATTAGGTAATTAATATTCATAGATTTTTACCAAAACCTAATCAACTCTGCGCATTATCCCAGAGCATCTATGTACCAAGTTTCACCAAAATTTGATTAGTGGTTCTTGAGATAATGGTTGAACAAAAAAAGTGACATACATACATACATACATACATACATACATACATACAGACATACAGACATACAGACATACATACATACATACAGACATACAGACAGGGTAACTGCAAAGACTCCCTTTTGTGCTTCGCACACGGGAGTCAATACATGTAGTCAACAAATTAAAAAAAGAAAAAAACATAAGATTTTATTTTGATCAGATTGAGGGCAGTATTGCTCCACTGATATTTCTACCAATCATATAATGTTTTCATGATTATAAATAAATATACAAGCATGAATCCTTCTCTCTCTTAATAACAACTTTAATTCAAAACTCACATCGGTGTTTCCACTAATGAAAGAATAGATGATATCACCATTCATTCCAAAGTCTAGGTCACTGGCAGTAACATTTCCAATAACTGTATCAATAGGCTGGTCTTCAGCAATATACACAGTTTGCCTTACTGAAAAAGTATACAAAACCAATTTTAAATAATGACAGTTTTAACATGTCATATAACATATTTAAAAAGACAGAAGCTGCAACTATTCAGAATATAACATTTGAAATAAAACACTTTGTATGCTGATGTGATTGATGTGAGTGTAGTGAACTATGTAGTGAAATAGCGCCCTCAGTGACAGTTTTGGTCAAACATCAAAGCATATGTCAATACAAGTAAATGTAAATAAATTTATCAGATTTAAAAAGTGTAGAAATGCAGTTTTTAAAAAGCACTTGTGAATATTTCTGAAGTATTTTAATTTAAAATAGATATTTACCATTTTCAAAGACAGGATTGTTGTCATTTACATCAAGAATTGTGATGTACACCATTGATGTAGCAGTTTTTTGTTCATTGCCATGACCACCATCTACAGCTAGTACCTAAATAAAATATCAAAGTTTACATCGGAGATCAACATAACATGGCAACACTTAAATATAGCTGTTCTCTATCAAACATATCCCACAATGCAATAACATATCGTATTTAGTCGGTACATTTTGAAATATAATCGCAATGTTTACATTGAAAATACTTGATAAATACATTCATGTCTGACACAAGTAAAATCAGTAACTACCTGCACTATGTAAGAATCCACACCCATATCTCTGTCAAGGAATGTTGTTGTTGTAATTTCACCAGTTCCAGGGTTGATTCGAAACACACCTGGCTGTGATACCGAGTATACTATAGACTCCGTGCCCAGAGCACTTGACATGTCTCCATCAATAGCAGTCACCGTGGTTACTGTATCACTAGTTTGGATATCTTCAAAGACAGACACGTTATAAGTCTGATGAGTAAACTCTGGACCGTGGTCATTTTTATCCTGGAATAAATAATAAATATTTCATGGTGACTAACTTTAAGTCATGCTCTGACAACAAACCCAATAGATTATTTTTATGAAACAGGAACATATACATGTATATTTTAATAATAACTGCTATGTACAACATCAATTTTATCTCCTAGTGAGACTAACCAGTTCCTATCACACAGACGCGAAAGGAAAATATTAAAAAGTGAATCCTCCTGTAATGAAAATAATTTTCATATTACCGGTACATGCAGTTGTATACAAACAATTTCTCAAGATTCTCTCTTCATGCAATAAAAATTCTCTCTCAAATTGGAACAGAGTTTGAGGGGAAAATGGCAGCCTCTTTGTATATGTGGGGCTGTATTAATAAAATTGAAAATTAAATGAAATTTGGTATTTATTTTTTTCAAATAGTACAATCAAGCGGACATAAAAACAATGGTTATTTTAACCATGGAAGTTAACTTTTGTTGTCTAGCATTCACAGATTTTTTTCCTGCAGGTAATAGATACTTGAGTCCTGTTTGTCTGAAATTAACAAATTTTACCAATATCTCTAGATGGACATTTATATTCATTTGGTCTAAGAAATTATCAACAAACACCGAAAAAAAAATTCAAAATATGACATCAAAAGATTTTAAGAAAAGATTACTTACTAAGACTTCAATATAAAGTACTGCAACATCACTTAGACCATCCAGATCTTCTGCTGACAGTGTTAAAGTTAATCCGCCATCAATTAGCTCTTCATAATCAACAGGTGTATTAACGAAGACAAAACCATTTACACCATCGGTTGTCACGCTGAACTGGTCCTCGCTCGGAGCATCCAGAATATGGTAGGTTATTTGGTTATATGGGGCAGAGTCTCTGTCTGTGGCCTGGAAAGCGAAAACACATAATGTAATGAATTACAATACTAATGTGTTGATATAGAGCAACACTGCTAATAACTTGATAAAATAAATTTATTAAGATGTTTCAAAGATTCTAAATTTCTCAAGGTAAAAATAAGTGTGACTAGTCAGCTGGTGTACGAGAACATAAATTTTAGGGATGAACCATTGTTTTTTATTTTGGTGCGTGCAGTTTAATTTTTTCATTCCAGTATGCACTATAGTAAATATATAATTACAGTGCAATACATGTAAATGTAAATTACAGATGATTAAAGTGGCAATAGCTATGATGATTTAAAACATTTTTTTGTTTAAATATAACTACATGAAGATGACCAAATCTTATTTAAATTTTGTTTTAGAAACAATTACACCGGCAAAGTGGTCACTACACAAGGCTGTCACATGAAATGTGATGTGAAAACTAATGGTTGGATAGCCGCTATTTTGTCGAAATCAGTCACGTGATGGGAAACGTAGTTTATGATGCATGACACACAGAAAATCACAGAAAAAAGATTGATAGTTACAGCTAATATATTATAATCATAAAACAAAAAAAAATTTTCAGAATTGCACTTGCAAGCACTAGCACATATGTGATCCAAAACGATTTCATCCATTATTGGTTGGTGTGTCTCCATTATAGTTTAATTATATAGCACCCTTGAGAGAGATATCGTTGGGGTGCATGTAAAGTAAAGTAATTAATACCAGATATGATTATACTAATATACATACAAATTCATTCAGATTTTATTTAAGGCCTTCACTTAGACTTGATATTAAGGATAGGAACATCTAGGGTATTTTCAATGAAGCATGTACATAAAGTTGCTACGCAGAGAGCGTTAGTTTCAAGATGGTGGCACTTGCAAAAGTTTAGCTGGATTTTGTTAACCGGTTTTTAGTGATTGTTTTAGAGACTAGAATTCATATTTATCATCTGAGAGACATGTAATAAAGTTATTACAGAATACAAGCATCTGTGTTCTCATGCATGGAAAATATTTATCTTCCTAACATCTGGCAAATATTCTCTGATGTTCTGTCATAACCAATCATATTTGGCCAGTACTATAGAATACATTATTTTTGTTTATAAATTAACATAATTAATTCGCTTACTCTTATTCTGACTATAGATTTATTTAAATAAACCGTATTTTCCTCAATAGTAGCAAAGTATTCACTGTCTTTGAATACTGGTGGATTATCATTGACGTCAATCACATTAATGATAACTCGTGTGTTGTCCGCTTCGGCCGGATTACCACCATCTTCGGCTCGTACTGTGAGTTGATACCTTAGACTGAGCTCATAATCTATTGATTGGATTAAGCTGATAACACCAAGCTCTGCATCAATTATAAATCTACAAATAAGTTATATGTATTTTGTTAATATTTGCAGTAACAATGAGTTATACAACTCAGGGTATACATCATTATTATTTTTTTTTTAATTACATAAGCTTGCAATCACATGGCCATGAAATAAAAGTTCATAAAATGTAGATGATATAAAAATTGACTTGTCTATAATACATGTAGCATATGGAAAGTCTATATGGCTAATGAAAGATCTACCATGCCAAGTGTATATGAAGAAGAGATATATTTTTACACAATGGTATATTACCACAAAATCACTAAGTCATTGATAATACTCACTGATCAGCTCCTGATATTGTATAGGTGATGTCTCCATAGATACCAATATCATCATCGGTTGCTGTAACCATGGTAACATTACTCCCTACTGGGAGATCCTCCTTGACATCAACAGTGATAGACTGGGAGCTGAAGATTGGTCGGTTATCATTTTCATTAATTAATGTGATTCTTACACGAGTCATATCAAAATGAGTGATGTCAGCAGTCTCATTTGCATATATCTGAACAAAAAAGAAAAATGCTGTGTTCAGGTTGATTCAAATGTCACTCAAATTATGTACAAGTGTTGTAAGGTACTGTAAAATACTTTATTTTAGCTGAAATTAATTTTCGCTGAAAAGATTTTTTGGGTGTTTTGTATGAAATTTTTTTTCACTGATTTTTGACAAGTTGAATGTAAAAATAGGAAAAAAGGTATATTCACTGGATTTTATATTCACTGAATCATTCTTTCAGCGAAAACAGCGAAAATGAATTTCAAGTGAAAATTAATTATTTTACAGTAGTCTTCTTTAAACACATTGCTGTCTGAAAGATTACACACAGATTCAGACAGTATTCCGAGTTATAGTGCTGAGTGAACAGTTGGAGCTGGGAATCAAACCCAGACCCTTCCTGATACAAGGCAAACACGCTATAAACCAGTGGCACTATACATGCATTTTAGAATCCACTTAAAACAAAGTAACTTTCATGGTTAAATTATTTTATTGTCAAAATTCAAAGTAAGGCCTGGTTGCACTTACATAAAGTTGATATTGTACTGCAGTTTCATAATCCAGAGGATGGTCCACCAGTATAATCACGTCAGCTTCACCTAACACTCTTGATGGCTCCAATCGGAATAGTTCACTGTACTGTCCATGTAATGACAAACTTATTGTAGAAAACTCTCCCTGGAAATAATAATACTTGGATTAAATCTGCAATAACATAGCACTGTATGATTGTGAGAAGGGTAAAGTCAAATTAAAATGTTAATGAGCATATTAGCAAGGCATTGTGGGAAAGAAACTCTAGTTTTGCTCTACTGAGCATGTTACAGGGCATATTTGTAATGCATTATGGGAGACAGTTATTGAATATAATTGATTTTTTTTGATCACACGGCAAACTTTCCAAATCAAATGTCAATATGTATACAATACATGGCTTTTTCAGCCCACTATTACTTAGGCAAAAACTAATTTTGAGGTATTAAGAAAATACTTTCATCATAGATGGGAAATGGAAAAAACATCTGTACTGGACAGGTAGATTTTGTCTGGAACAGGTAAATAGAGAAATTGTCTGTCTCTATGGTCAATATCAAGACTTTGCTAACTGTTCTAATTTGTAGTTCAAAGTTTCTAATGTCAAGAAAACTACTTTCAGAGTTTTTAAGTCCTGACGATGATGAACTGAAAGTTAAAATTTTATTTCAAATATCAAATATATGTTTAATTTATTTTGCTAGGGATAGGTACATCATCAATTGGGACAGACCCAGCATGTCCAACAGACAGGCATGCAACTTCAATTTTTCAAACCCTGCTCCCGCAATTCTATTCATGTTCAGTTCAAAAATGTACAAAGTTTACAAGTATGTTTCAGAGATACATTAGTAATGAGGGAAGTGCCAACTCTTGGTGAAATTTTATTTAGGGAAGTGACTTTGTCCAGGTTGCACAACCACTTACTGCTTCTGGCTAAAAGACACATTTATCTTATGAAAATGAGAAACCTAAAACCCCACTTTCCAACTTTTCTGAACTAAGTCAAGTATAACTATCATCTTGAATACAACATTGCTGTGAACAAAGACAAAATTGAAACACACTGTAATAAGTGGATTAAAATCCACCAAATTGTTATGTCTTGAATGCACTTGTATATTGCCTGTATATGTACGCAGTGTATTCTGCTTACTGTATGTATTATGAATGATTACCAATGAAAACTTATAAATATAAAAAAACAAGTTTACAAGTACATCGGTTTTATCAGTTCACACTACATTACAAGGACTCTAGAATTATAGAAAATCTCAAACTTCCACAATGGTTTGTATCATCTGAGCAGCAATGTAAAAAAAAGATGTTTGTGAAAGACGTCTATGGCTATAGATACAGTCGTACAAAAGCATGATCAATGGTACATCTCTGTCTTAAGAATATAGAGGGCAGACCATTTGATTAATCACTGCATTACCATTTCATTACTCACCTGGTCTCTATCTCTGACATGGATATCTAATGGCAATGCGATATGAGCATTCTCAGACACAGTAATACTGTATTCTGCTTGGCTAAACAATGGTGATTCATCATTGACATCGTTAATAGTGATTGTAAATTCAGTCTGTGCAGAATCACCACCATCTGGACCAACCTCCAATGCCTTAAAAATAAATTCAACAAAAGTCAGTTAAAATATTTCAATCTTTTTTATAATAAACAAGTCATAGTCCCTGATGACCGCCTATCAGCCATTTTTGATTTGAAAATGACAATATGATGTGCCTGACGTATGTGTGAAATTTTAACTTCAGGCATGTCTGATATATTGATATTGTATTGCATTTTTTAAAATAAAATGTTGTGTATCAAGGTCTTGTTGGGTTTAATGTACAAAGTTTAAACCAAAATGGTTCAAACCATTTGGTTCTGAAAAAATGTAATTTTGATGCACTTTTGGTCTTAAAATGGCTGCTGTGTGGCCATCGTAAATCAGATCATGAAACAAATGCATGTGCATATATTCTATATATGTGTATGTGAAGTTTGAATTTAATCAGTCCAAGCATGTGTGAGATGTGGTTGGATACCAACCAGTGTTGAATGTGACCAACCAGTGGATCACATGTGCAAAACACATGTGCACAACAAACATCTGCATCTTATTGCAAATTGCAACACGTCTGTTAATCACAAATTTGTCCCTAATACAATTCAGCAGAAGCTTTGGACTAAAATAAATTATAATTTCAAGTGATCAGTACCTCTACTGTTAAAGTGACATAACCAGGAAATCCTTCAGCTTCTCTGTCAATTAATCTTTGTCCCCTAATCTCACCAGTATCAGCATTGATAGTAAACAGTTCGGGCACAGAAGCTGAAAGTAAACATATTCATAGAGTGAACATGTGTGTACTCACCACTAGTTACATCCTGGGTTTAGTGCCATTCTTCCAGGCAAAATGTTGTCTGTTTTTAGGTATTTTTCTCTATTTTTTTATAATTTTGATCTGGATGGCCATAATTTTCTCTTGGCTACAAGTCTTAGTGAAAATTTGAGAAAATAATATGTGGGTGTAAAATTTTTGAATGGTTGATTTTTGCACTCAATTGTTTAATCATTGTTTTACCATCAGACTGTCTCTTCCAAATTTTTCAGCACATTTTTCTTGTATTCTTCAATATTTATGGAAATGAACTCTAATCTTGGAGCCAACAGACAAAATATGAGCCAATTTTCACTTTTTACTCAAAAAATTTGGCTATTTTTGTCCCAATCTTCTGAAGGAAAGTGCAGACTATAAGTGGGACTATTTTGTGAACTGGTGGTAAAAAAGTTAAGGTGGTCTTGCATCCTGTGCATATTTTCTGCATGTAGCAGTGACAATATTTCATGTAAAAAAATTTCTACAATCTAGTATTAGTCCAAAGTATATGAACTTGTTTTGTTCACTGTCAATCTTTTATACAGAAAAATGGGAAAATAATATAAGGTTATTACGAGAATACCTCAAAGTATGCACGAATACAGTACAGTGGCAGTATAGACCGAGTGCATACTTTGCGGTATCTTCGTAATAACCTTATTATTATACATCTTTTTCTTCCAAGAAAACATCATGGGAATGCCGAAATCCAAAAAGTTTAGAACAGAATCAGCAAACTTCTTTGTATGGAGTCCGGTCAAATCCTGGTGGCAGCCATGTTTGTTTTTATTATTAGAGGACGCTTACGCGCGTAATCATTCCATATTTGGAATTCACATTTCCTAATATGGTAGTATGAAAATACCCTGTAAAATACCGCAAATTATGGCATGCTGTAACTTATGGCGTTACAGTGACAGATGTATAATATTATTATATATCAAATATGTAAAAATAAAGAAAATGGCAACTTTTTTACTTTTGTGTAGTATTCCACACACACAAGAACACAGTGGGGTGTTCACCAAGAATGCATTTCCAATTATTTCCTGAAAATACAGTTTAATATTTTCTCATGGATGGCAGCATAACGACCATGGATGAAAAGTTTTGAGAGCAGTCTTAAACATCCCCTCACATTCACCTCAAATTTGTAATACAACTGTACTATGACTATTGACATATTGCTGTGTAACCTCTCTATTAACTGAACTCAGTCCAACAGATACATGTGTACTCACCACTGACTATAGAATAAGATATTTGATTAGAAAGTCCAATATCTTGGTCAAAGGCTCTGACAGTCTGAACTACCAAAGTCTGTAAATGAAAGAAAGCGTTACGGCTATCCCTACAGTGTCCAATCACAGAGTAGGTTGCATTGGAACATAATACCAGTACTTGTCAAATCAGCACATCACTGCCTAGACTAATATTCGTTTTAACACAATCTGGCACCATAAAACAAGCCAAATTTAAGTTCAATAAAATAAAGTCATTATTGATATGAATAATTTATTATTTTTGTTCTATATTGACATATATCTACATAAATACATCATAAGTCTGACATGAACCCAAGTTCAAGATCACAGTGCCTCATAAACTTACTGTGGGAGAGTTTTCATCCACTGATGTGGTATACGGCAATCCTGTAAACATTGGCGGGTTGTCTTGCACGTCAGTTACTTTGATAATTAACGATGCCTCACTACTTTGTTGTGGAATGCCTTGATCCTGTACATGATATATAATTAATATAATTCATTTGACAAAAAAATAATGAGATAGGGGGCTTAATGGAGCTTATCTCATTGCGTAAAAAATGTGGGGATAAGAAGAACTTTAGAAAGAAAAACATTTTTGAGTTTCCTCCTGAGATGAGATTTTCCTTCTGCAGTCAGTAATGGGATCCAAATATATGTACATCTTTATAAGGAGTGTTGTCAATTTCTATAAACCCTGTATACTTTTGAAAGCAGAATCAGCATTCTAGACAATAATCTATAATAAGTAAATATTCATATTCATGTGAGCTTTGACCAATGGGACTTAAAGAGCTTTTTGACATAGGGCAATGCATTTTAGAAAGATTCAAGGCCTGAACAGGTGCAACATTTTATTTATATTATTAAATAATTCATTTCAAAAGCATCGAGTAAATTACGGAGATATAGCAATGACACTAGTCACGGTCACTGACTTTCTGTTTATTGAGAAGCCACCTTATTTCAGCTTTGGTTGTTGTACATTACTTCTAACCAATGCTAAATACAATAACGTTCAGTGAGATTCCAATATTGCACAACAGTTTTTGCTAAAGCACGAAGGGCATTTTCCAAATCCATGTAAAGTAATTTTTAAATTTAATAAAATTTAGAATAATTTGTGGTTATTATGATGAATTTATAATTATACCTTCATCTATTTGTCTTGAAAATTGTGGGAATGTTCATTTTATCGATAGTTAATCACTTTTTACGTACAGCTCATTCAAGACCTTAGTTTTGTTCTATAATGTTGATACTTACCGTTGCCACTATTGTTAATTCATATATATTGATATCCTCATAGTCTAATGGCTGATTTATTATTACGTATCTATTTGGTGATGGAATGGAGAAGGAATTAATCTCCTATAAAAGAAAAATAGAATAAAATTACATCAATCACTTTTAAACTATTAATTTAATATAATGAAGTCATTACACAAAGTCACTTATAGTTAAATGAGTAGTTGGTACAAGTGACATCATCGGGTGTATTGTCCACTTGCAAAATACATTGGCATGTTCAATCAAAGACACTTGAGTATTCAAGCTAGAGTGCTAGTTCTATTGATTATACTGTGCTGCATAGACATGCTTTTGTTTGAAATTCATCCCTCAAAAAACATATAATCAACACTTTGTATACATGATGTGAAATTCACAACCTTGCATGCTGAACATTCAAAATCACAATTAAAACATAAGAGCTGTTACATCCAAGAAAATATCTCACTTGCTTGTCGCTGCCTTCCCTAGTCTCTTAATTTATTTCAGTCTAAATTTACATTGTTCATCTAAATCTTTTCCAAATTGTATTTCCAAACCAAGATATTAAAATGAAACTGATCTCCACTTTTTTAGCACAGTAGTTAAAGCTTTGAGTATTATAACAAGATCTCTGGCTCAAATTTGTTTGGAACTAAATACCAGAATTCAAAAGAAGTGATCCACATCCAAGGTTCTACTACAATGATCTGCAAGTAACTCCAAAAAAACAAAGTGACCAAACTTACCGTTGAGAACGAAAAAAATATTATACCATTCCTCCCAGAGTCAGAATCTGTTGCACTGATTTCAAAAATTGTGGTTCCTACAGTCACATTCTCAGATATGGATACTTTATAAGGTGTGTTCTCGAAGACTGGGGCATTGTCATTTACATCAAGCACATATATAGATGTTTCCATCGGTTGCTACGAGTTAAAAAAAAAATATTATTTTCTTCAATATAATATAATGTAACATTTACGAATTATTTACTGGGTTTTATTTTTGCTTATAAGTAAAACGCAATAACAAATTTAATCTACATAAAAATGTACAATTATAAAAATCTGTGAAATTAAAACCAAATGATGAATTTGTATTTTTTGAAGGCATAAAATAGTTTCCTTCATAGATCGTCGCACTTATGTGTGTACGCAGTGATTGGATGAAAGAAGCGGTCGTTTGTTGTTTGCTACAGTTGTTATTTAATATATAAATGTACAATGTATGTGTCTCTGCTAACACCTTACGCGCCAGATGTTTTACCCACCCAAAATTTGGAGCAAATATTTTCACATTTCATAAAATTTTTACTAAATTTCGTCACAATTTTGTACCATACAGACAGTTTCAGATATTGCTTTTAATTTTTGATCAAAAGATTTGTCAATTTTATCAATATTTCTTATACAGTGAAGCTGACTATACAAAATCGTTTTGTAGATGGTGCGAAAATAGTTGTCAAAGGTGCTCATTACCATGGCAATGTTGTCATAGTAGATTACAAGCTAGATTGATTAGTAAGCAACATTCATACGCTGGTTGGTATAAATGTAAATATACAACGTCACGATGTGACGATTTATAGGCTGTGACATCATTTGTTGTAAACTTATTTGCCAACCAGCACACGAATACATGACTGATTACAATTAGAATGTGATCTGATGTAAAAACAAGTTGTTTATTGACAGCAACATAAACATGTATCTTTAAAAAACAATAAATAAAATGTAATTACAATAAAAAGCAGCAATTAGCGGCATTATTTTATCTTTTGATGCAAACTTCTGATTCTCGCCAACCAGTCACTGAGCATACTTGCGCTCACAAAATGTACACAAGTGGGACCTTTTATGGAAATAATATTTAAGAAATTGAATCATCTATGATTTTCAGATCATCTTGTACTAGTAAATACTGTAAAATACTTTATTTCCGTGAAAATACAATCCAGTGAATATATATATTTTATATTCAATGTGGCAAAAATTAGTGAAAATAAATTCCATACAAAACACCCAAAAGGTCTCTTCAGCGAAAATTAATTCCAGCTAAAATAAAGTATTTTACAGTAAGCTGAACTTATTTTTATGCTAATTATCAAATGTTCAAAGCATACTATTGTCATATAGTGGTGTCAAGAATCAGAGGTAAACTCAAATTTTCACCTTAAAAATTCTTATAAGTCATGCGTTCTAGCAACAAAGCTTTGATTTATCAACATTAAAAGGCACAAGGCTGTAAGAGTTTATAAAAAAAATTGTAAAAGCTGATCATTTCAGCTGAGTTTTCATTCAAATTCAAATATTCAATAGTAATTGGCTCTTGACCTAAACATTGTATATGCACATCTACTGGTAATAAGTAAATTATAATTGTATAAAAATACTAACCTGTTGTCCCATATTATCAACAACAGAAAATATCACTTCATGATGTGGATTCACCTGATATCAAATAATTATAATATTATATCAATATTAATCTCAATAGCAAATAGTAATATATACAAAGTTAAAACATAATAGTATAGATGTGCTTTTCAATTCGTTTTCTTTCTTTTTTTATCAATTCGAAATTTAATTTATTACATCATTTTATTTCCCATGCATCTATTATTTTGTTGATAGAGACTATGGAATATATTGATTGAATTAAGATTGAAATACATTAAATTGGAATTAAACTTGCCTCCCTGTCAAGTGATTTTTTTAGTTTCACCGAGCCATTCACGGAATTGACGTCCAGAAGTTCTTGGGAAATATCATCATACAATGCATAATGAACGGGTCCTTCTGCATCATATCCATTCAGAACCAGAATCTCAGTTCCTTTAGATAAAAAAGATTATACCATATCATGAACTTTAAACCAAGCTCAAATCCAAAAGTGTTTTTAAGAATATTTCTTGGTCCAGTTCAGTATAAGAACAATAAAAACTAAAATTTCTTTTTTTAATCTTTGTTTCATTCACCCCTCTAGAAAATAAGATTTGTTTTCGAAAGACTCTCTGTGCTAATCCTTTTTGTCGGGGTGGGTGGAGGGGGTATCCCATTGTCATCCACATCGCGTAGATTAAACCATGGTTCTTAGTACATCCATGATTAAACGGAGTCACCATATCAACACATTAAAAAACAACACATTCTTACATAAAACCCATGGAACTGCCACTCAATTTGAATGGTTAAGTGACAGAATGTTACCAAATTTCGTACGCCATCATGGTCGGAAGCTTGTCTGTGTACAACCGAGACAGTACCGGCAATGTGTGGAACTTTTTTTAGATCTTTCGTTCCCATGCATCTTTAGAACACACAAACAAAGTTTGTTGTCACTCGATCAAAATGGCCGCCTATTAAGCCGATTGGCTAAAACGAGGCTGAGGGAATCACAGATATGACGTCACCAGTAAAACGCATGCATACTACCAGGGTCTCATTGCTGGTTGCATCATTGTCCCAATATTACGCTATAACTGTCCCAGTTTGGACTGCGAATGACGGATGATATAGAAAGTACGTAATTTGGCATGTGGCTGTAAAATAAACCCATTTACAGCGGATTTCTGATGAAAATGGGACACAGTAAGTAAATATCATCCTGGATCATAAATTAAAAATCAAATAGTAAGTTGCTCATAATTCTAATTACAAACTTATAATGTTTTTGTTTTGTTTTTTCATTTCATATTTTTTGTTCAACTATATATATTTTTTTTCAATATATAATATAATGTGGATGAGATATTTGAAGAGATCTGATCTAGCCGGGGAATTTTAATTAAAGTATTTATCCCGAGTTTCTCAACATATCAATTTGTTTGCTTCCTCGTCTACTCATAGACCTTAAAAGACTTTTAAGGTCTATGGTCTACTTGACATACAACATTGTATAAGCAAAATTACTTCTAGGAAATATTTTTATATTTTACGAGTTTTTATTAAAGGATACAGGATTGTACTTCTGGACCTTCTTGGTCTGTGTGGTTTCCAATTCGCTCTACACAAATAAACATCGGAGTTGAACCCGCATGCGTAGTCGTCGCCATGTGTAGCGTGGGACCCATGTCTGATGTATACCATATTGTATTTTTACTTACCTAGAGGGAGGTCTTCTCGTAATTGTAGGGAAGTTATATCAGTTATGAACCGTGGTGGTTCGTCTCCTGTGAAAAGAAAGGGCAAGTCGTTACGAGACGAGGCAGGTAGTTAATATAGACGAAGAAGGTCGTTATTCGTGCGATAGAGGTATTTATAACGGATAAACACTTACCATTAACATATGACAGTATTGTAAATGATAATAGTAACGTAATTAGAGTCTTCAATTGACCAGCCATATTACAGCTACGTGTCTTTCTCACTTGCTATGTTCTGAAAAAGACGACACACAGTGATAAACTTATTGTTATTCACTTACTAGTTGTTGGTTTTTACTTTGTAGGGGGGGGGGGGTAAATTGTAATAAAAAAATGGTGTGCGCATTCCCGGTTAATAAAAATTCAGTGTGCAAAGCGAGAAGTTGTTTCTCGTCAAATCATATACAATATGATTGTCTCAAATATTATGTATTGCATAATATATTATTTACATAATATCTAATTGCCCCAGCAACACATATTTGGAACGGTGCAATATATATGTGACTAAATTGAACGATACGTTTTTGTATTTTGATTCAAATTTCGCTCATCATTTCCTTTTTGGTTTGCACAACTCTTTTCAGCTTACCACAGTCTTAATATAGTTTGTTATATGTGATGTTATGTTCCGGAAGTATGTTATATTATACTTATGAAATTTTTATTTGATGTTAATAGTGAGTAATACATACTAGGCAATGGTAAGCATACTTTACTTCTGTCATACTTTAATAAAAAGCTTGGAATTTAAATTACAATGTATATAAATTACAACTTGCCTCTTGATATTCGATTAACTTAGCGAGAAATAAATTCTATTATTTCATGCCGATTTCACACCAATAATTTACTACAAAATTGGTAGGTGATATTTTGATAACAATTTCATGTTCTTATAACGGTTCGACATAATGTTTAATTTTACTCATATAGGGCAATTTATTTCGTTCCTCGTTCATGATTTCTCGAAATGTGTTTTCATGGTTGCAGTGTGTTCAATTTAGTTGTTCATCATGGTTGCTGAAAATAAATAAACAAACAAACAATACAGGGTCGTCTTGATATCATGACGAGATACCACGTGACATGACGGATTACCAAATTAGTATTTTATCATACCATAATCTTCTGTTACATAACTTTTTCTTATTTTTTTGTGTTTTCGTCAATTGCGTACGTGTAAAACGTACCAGGTCAGACGTACCGACAGGCAACGATGTGCGAAGTATGGTACATTATAACGTATTGAACCGGAAAGAAACATACACAGTGTAACCACGAGTACGTTAATCAGAATAAATGGTCCGATGCAACCACGGGTCAAGTTAACCGGAATTAACATGACAATGTAACTACGGGTCCGCGGTAAACTAGAATAAAAATGTTCCATGTAACTGTGGGTTAGATTAACCAACCATGGAAAGCAATACAGTGTATCAATACGACAAGTTGACCAGAATAAACAACACAAAGTGAGTACAGGTCGGAATTAGACTAAACACAAAAGTCTATGTAACTACGGGTTAAGTTAACCATTTTAGTTGACAATGAAAAGTGTGGTATTTTATTGGGTTGAGTTAATCAGAATAACGGCACCACGTTAAACTTTTTACAGTACGAACACGGGAGCCATACCAAACGCGTCGCGTCGAGACGAGCATGGCGCTAAGGAGTTCATCATGTGGTTTGTCAAGCGAGTTAGGGTGCCACTTTTTTTTAGTCTTATGGGTTAGCTGGGGTTAAAAAGCGACGAAACCTATAAGAATAGTTTAAGTATGCCCTGTAAAACATTTACTTTAGATATTAAGTTTCATAATGTTGGTAGTATTAAGTTTTACATACATGCCGTTGGTGCGATTAAAGACCGCGACCCAAGGGCAGACACACGTTGCATAGAGACAATAATCTGCGTTTACAAAGAACAGTTTAAGTTTTCCGTTTCATAAGATATAATGTTAACGACATCATGGCACCTTTATCGCACTTTATAAAGTTATCTGCGGCATATCGTTATTTGAAAACACTTGCACTGTGATTAACGTACGCCCGATGGAAGTTCTTCTATTTGTAATCGGGGAGCCAAAGCGAATATATGAATAATTCGATTTGAAGGAAACTTTCAGTATTCAAGTGCTTGTGAAATAATTAACAGGTTGTATATACCCAGAGTGTATACATATATATATATACCCGCGGTGTATACACACTCTCGGGGATAATGGTATATATGGTATAACATACCGTAATCCATTTCTGGTCCGAGTGTGACACATCTAAGTAGAATCAGTTCCCACTTTGTAAATACATGCATAACACCACTGATTTTAGTGATCGCTATGGTGTCTAATCACCAAATCAAACTTATGCTCCATTGCTGTGTCCACCAAGACGTCTTTACGTTATTTTAGAATAGTTTTTTAATTCCGATTTCATGATTCGGTTAAGATTTCTCATGAACCGTACATAATCCAAAACCCTTATAATGCTTACATGGGTCAGTGAGAGGTTTGTACAGATCATACAAAGTGGAAATGCAAATTTAAAATGTAAGATAATGTTTGTATAGTATAATGTAAGTATAGTTTTATGTTGCTGTTCACAAAAAAACTTGATAAAGGATAAAATGGATCAAAAGTCTATAAAGATCATAATATATGAGATATTACTCGTTGGTTGCTATGAATACGTCATATCTCAAAATTTTGCCCAATAATATATGGTGAAACGAACATGTGTATTAATAAGATACGTGTGGTTGCCATGACATATTAAGACACTCTGATTTCGTTCGGCCCTGGAACGACCTTTAGTGGGAATCTACGTATCGGGTAAAGATAATTTGATTTGTATTTAATCCCAGCACTCATTACCATAGCTTTATTTTTGTTCGACATATGTCATGGCAAAATGTCATATGCGCGAAAATTGCGGGAAATATTCGTGGATTCGCCTTGCACATGTATTTGAATAAACAGTCAACCAAATACTTCGCATACTGTAAAATGATAATTTTAGCTGAAAAACTATTCGGATATAATATGCAGTTTATTTTCACTGATTTTTGATGAGTTGAATGTAAAATATAAGAAAAATGATATATTCGTTATTTTATATTTTCACTAAATCATCCCTTACGCAAAAATAAATTCCAAGTGGAAATAAAATATTTTACTCCAATACAGCATTATAAATGATATCAGAGAATAAAGTTGACAAACAAATACGTGAACACCGCGTGGGGCATCTACGAGAGCTATAGGGAATGCTTGTATTTGAGCAGACTCGTATTATTTACTTGGTAAACAATGGCCGCACTTTGCTTACCGAGCTATTAGTCATGGTGAAAACAAGTCAGCACGCAAGACTAATCGCTCGTAACAGGCGATTGCAGTCACACGCAGAGAGGAACGAAAATAATCAATGAGATTCAGGAAGACGGGAAAGTTACCCGTGTAACGTATTAATTACTAAATTAAAAACTTCTAATAACTTATATTTGAATGAATGAATGAATGAATGAACGAACGAATAAATGAATAAATAAACGAACAGTGAAATTACTGAAGGTTAAATAAATGTTTAAAAGTAGCAAAAATGCTGTTGTAGTAAAACATATGGCGGTTCATTTCTTCAGTTTAAAACGCCTTAGTGCGAGTCATCGCTCAGTGAACTGAGAAGAAGGTTGCATATTCAGTATATGTTATAATATTCACGTGTTCAGTTAGATAAATAGTCGATCCCACACCTATATGCAATTTTACCAGTTTACGTATAAGTTGTGTAATATTATTAGTAATATTTCCTTGCATATTTATAAAAAAGAACGTTTTTGATCAGTTGTTAGCAATACATATATGGGTAACAAAAACTAAAAAGTACTACAAGTACAAGTAGCATTAAAATAAAAATATGCAATTTCATTTCGTGTTGTGAAACACGTGCTCATAAAACTTCCAATGCTTTTCATCATTTCCTCCTCTCTATTCTTAAAGGGAAATCTTCCAACCCCAGGGATTGCACCAAAGCATCATGGGACACTATTGTTTTTGTTGTTTACAATGTTAATCTAACTTTTGTTATGCATTGTAATTTTAATCCAGAGAGTAAATTTGCTGTGAGATTAGGTAGGCTTAACTGGAGGTGCTCCTTTAAGTAGATGTATATGGTTCTGGAATGAATTGGTGATTTTATCTGGGAATTCAATATCTGTCAGGATTGTTTGTTGGTCTAAATAATATTTAGAGCAAAGTAGTAAAAAGTACAATCTCATTTACCAAGCATTGTTCACAAATTCTATTCTCTAATGGCGGTTTTGGTTGAGTATGCCTTTCTTTTCAATTGCTAAATTGTGGTTACGTGTTCTAAATTTAGACATAGTAATTCTCTTTTGTTATTTAATGTAGCAAGATAAAATTTCAAAACTGTACTTGTTTTTGAACTTTACATACGTTCTAAATTTAGTAAGCAACAATTTACAGTGTTGATTTGCTACATTATCTTGTATTTAGCAACTGTATATGTCAATCGATCGTGTGTTTTTTTAAATAATAGGCGTTCGTCAGATACACCACAGTATAGAAATGTTCACCATGTTTTCGGGGACGGAACAATATAACAATTTCAGGGCGATAATTTAGCACAATACGCCACAGAGAATAGTAAAATAAATAACCCTCCGGCAAAAATAATGGTTTTCTTTTTTTTAGAACAATATTGTACTTAAATGCTTTGAGTGACACTTAGTATTATCAACGTCCCTGGCACTCTTAATCTCGACTGTGATAACGATATGACTAGCCTGTGGTCCGATTACCGAGTCTGAGCTTCTTTCACGGTCACTTCGTCTTCACAGTGTTTCCCAAAACATACAAAGCATACCAATGTAATGAATGCGAAAGTACATATGCAAATGAGGCTACAACGACTAATTAAGTGTGATGATCTACACAAACCGCTGTAAATCATTCGCGATAAAAGCAATTAAGTATACACGATATATTAGGATGCAAAAGAAACTTGGGCGGCGGGAAGGTCAGTCCCGTGGGACGCAAACTAGGTTAAACAGTATAGTGACCTTAAGGTATTCACGATGTATTCAGCGTTATAAAAGAAAGAAACGTCAAAGCACACAACAATCCAACTTAACAATACTTTAAAACCTATTGAATAAGTAGTCTTTGGTGAATGTTACAAAACAA